GACTGTGCCACCCGTGGTATTCTCTCCCCTCGTTCCTGCTTTAACTAATTCCATGTCTGCCAGCGCCATCTGGCCAGTCATACAGTGAACATGGCAGCTCCTTTGAAGAGTCCTCTGTCAGATGAGCTTTTATTTACATGTTGACGTACAGTACAGGTGAAAGGACAGCGTCGTTCCTTGTCACAGCTGCCAGTAAAGCTTTTAAGTAGAAGTTTGGAGCTGATGTGTGAAATTCTTTCCTCTTGGTCTTATGTATTCAAAGATAATCCTAACTGAAATTATTAGGGTGTTTTTTTTTTTTTGTTTTGTTTTTAAGGGACACTTGATGGAAATGTTACTTTTTGTTTGTATTTAAAAAAAAAAAAAGACAGCTGTGTCTCCAGGGTGGCTGCCCACCCATCAAGTGTGAAATTAAACTACCAAGTCAATCTTTTCTTATCTGCCTGAATCATGACAAAGTGTTTGTGAACAAGCTAATCTGTTCTGCACTTCTGCATCGCTGTTACATAACGGAAGAGATGTGGGCTGTTTTCGAAATGTGTCACTCATTCCCTACTTCCACATCACGATATAAGTATTTTTACACTGGATGCTTTATCGTTAACGCTTTCCCTCATAAAAATGTTCCAATACTACAGCACAGACACCCCCAGTGTGCAATGTTTCAGTAAGCAATGTTTGGTTTGATTTAAGTTGTCCCCAAGCGCATGGCAATGTACTGTATCTGCCCATTTAGCGTAAGGTTGCGGTTAAAACTTTGCACAGCACACCCAAAAAACTGTTTGGAGAGAGAGGCCAGTATCGGTTGTCACCAATTGGGTGCTGAAAGGACCCAAAGCCACGGAAATGCCGAGTCGAAAAGAGTTTTGTCCTAAATGGGATGGCATGACTCCTTCTTGTGACTGGCTCCGTGGCAGGCTTTAGATCGTTCAGAAACTGCAAAACGGGATTGCCGTTTAGACAAAAAGTGTCGCCATCATTTTAGTTTCTGTCATTTCATGGCATGGCATTTAAACAATGCAAAATCAGCCATTGAAATAATTCTCGGCTTTAACAAATGAAATTGTGCGTGCAAAACGGCAGACGCAATCTGGCGTGCGCTCGGTGAGTCGATCGACTTTCACGTGTGTTTGCACATGCGAACCTTCCGTCAATCAGGCCCGCAGTGACTTTGCAAAGTGACAGGCAACGAAGGCGACAAGTATCGTCGGGTGAAATATATTTGCACGTTGTGAAGCATTAATCCCCTCCATCTGTTCAACTGGGTTAGAATCCATCCCGGCTTTGTAGCATTGCCACGCGAGCCGTATGCACGTCTCTTTTGATGTACATTACATGTGCATTACCAGTCCAATAGCAAACAGAAATAAACAGACTGCCAAATCAAACCCAGCGGGGAGCTTTGGTCGGACTCCAATATCTTGAAAGTCTGTTGTTTTTCTTGTCGAGACAAAGCAGAGCGACTGCATCCTAGAATTGGATTTGGAGCCAGCTTTTAGTTTACAGCCAAACGGCCAGTTGAAGACACTGTGGCAAGTGAAGGTTGAAGTCGTTTGAAGTCTGTTTTTACAAGAGCGAGCGTGTTAATTTAAGAAGGCAACTTTTTTTTTTTTTTTTTTTTTT